TAATTCCTTTATCACTTTGATAATTTTTGTATATAGGTAGAGAAATCTTTCGTATATTTTACGCGTTATTATTGGAGTAAGAAATATCTTACCGTATTTTCTCAACGTGAGACTCATACTGCTTGCCAAACGATGACTTGTATATTTCCCATTTTAGGTCCATGATATTAAACGACCAAGATGTTGCCAGAAGACATTCAAAAACAGCTACATGAAACATCTGCTAATTAAAGATATACTATGCTCATCCTTGAATAAAATATTTTTATCACGGATATTTATTAAAATCTTTGATTTTTTACAGAACAAAAATAGTCTCAACTTTGCTGTGTTGGGTTTTCTTTCGGGATTCCTTTTTTGCACTGTTGAAAAAAAAGAATGAATATATATGGGATGCTACGTTTTCTTTTACAAGTCACGTAAAGTTTGATTTTTCTTACAAAACTGCCATTTTTAATGACACTATATTTTTATATTGTGACCACCTATAGTGAGTAGAATTATAAAACATTATATATCTGCATGTGTATCAAAACATGTTAATTTTATATTGACTAAGAGACTGTTTAGCAAAATCAATTCTTTCTTATATCAAATTTTGGCACAGTATATCTTTAGCATATCGTATATATTCATATTTTGATGATAAGTTGTGAAGTTGAATTCGTGAAATTAAATGTGTTTTAAATCTATGAATTAATGAAGTTGAAATTGTGATTTCATGAAGATGAAATAAGTAAATTCGTGAAGTTGAAATCATGAACTGATGAATCTACAATCGTCAATTCTTGAATTCCAGCTGTTCAAAACAATATCTCGAATTTAGAAATGTGATTTCCCTTAAATGAAATCTGAAATTCATGAATTTGAAACCGGTCCTTCATAGGTTTTCAGGTTTTCTGTATTAGTTTATTCCCATTCCGACCTTCTTGCCCATTAACATCAACCCAATACGATATTTTGCAAAAATGCCTTTCCCAAAAAGGTACATTTTAAGAGCGGTTATTATTTTTTGATGAATTTATCATAAAGGACGATTATTTTAATCGATTCAGGTATATTGTACAATTTTTGATAAATTACAGTCATAAAAATTACCTTAATATGCAAGTTATTCAGGAAATATAGAAAAAATAGAAATAGTCACCAAATCAATATCAACTTCCGGTAGGTTGCCATTTCACGATATCAATTTCCCAAAATGGAATTACATTTTGTAATCATCCCGAAATCATATTTTAGATTTATTTATGTTCTCCGATAGTTGTAATTAATTTAGATAGCAGATAAAACATGAAATTCTGAAAGTGAAAGTTAGTTTTGAATAAATTATGTGACTGAAACTGTGCAGTTTTAAGTTCGTAAAATTCCCAGTAATGTTCCCGCTGATGTGTTTTAATACGAGGGCTGTTCGAAAAAAATTGCATATTGTCCTCTATCTCGTGATCCACGTGGGACCTACGCAACGGTGTATAAATGTACACGCTAGACTAAGTGTAAGACATACAATTTGCCATTTAAATACTCGCAGTCATTGACCACTGTAGTAAAAATGGTTGGTAGAAGCGTCGACAAAAAAGATGAAATACGGGCTTACATCAAAACTCACTCAAAACTGGATTGCTCTTTGAAGCAGTTGATGACTGAACTATCTATTGCTTATGTGCCTTCTCGTGTGTCTTATGACACAGTTAGGCGACGGAAAAAGAAACTTGAATCTGGTGTAGAGTGCATCAAAAATGCACGAAATTAGGTATTCAAAATCTGCATCTCCAAACAAAATCGTTTCCAAAAGAAAAGATATCATTAAAGAAGATACCAGATTTACAATTCGTGATATTGCACGAAACGTAGGCGTATCACTATCAACGGGTTAATTTATTTTGAAGAAGCATTTGGAAATCAGAAAGATTTCTGCTAGATGGCTGCCACATCTGTTGACCGATGAGCAAAAGAGGCAATGGGTCGTGATGGCCAAAAAGCTGCTTCAAATGTTTTTAAAAAATATGACAAAAACAGTTTGCAAATGTCGTTATAGGTGATGAAACTTCAATATTTTGAGCCCATAAATTGCCAAACGGTCTTTGTGTGCAAAGAAGGTTTTGTATGCAAATTTCTTCACTGGTGAAGGAGTGGCAATTAAAAAGCCAGTGAAAAGGGGCATAAGTATCACTGGGAAGTACTACAAAGGCAAAGTACTTAAGCTACTGAAAAAAGTATTTTAAGAAACGACGCCCTGTCACTAGTTTTAAGCATTTCCGTCTTCTACATGACAATGCCCTCGCTCATACCTCCGCAATAGTTTCGGCGTTTTTGAAAAAAGAAAAAGTAACTGTTTTGCCTCACCCACCCACCCCCGTTCTCTTCCGACCTTGCCCCATGTGATTACCTTTGTTTCCGATATTGAAAATCTTCCTTGCTGGGCGGAAATACAAGTCCCAACAGGCACTTGTACCTGCCATTCATCAGTACCTTAGTACTGTGCCCAAATCAGAGTACCGTGACGCCTTCAAGAAGTGGATCCATCAACTGAAACTTTGTTTATCTAGCCACGGGGAGTACTTTGAGGACATAAAATAAACACTTTCGAGCTAACTTGAAATTTGAATTCTCCAGATAGAAATGAGCAATAAATTTCGAAAATCCCTCGTAAATATGGTCATGATAGTGAAATGCAAACACTCGGTCAAACCGCAAGAACTTTGCTGGAGCGTTCCTTGAGAGGTGACGAAAAATCGTCACCGACCGTTTCCATTTACCAGAAGTTGTCCCCCGTTCAAGCAAAGGCGTATACGCTCGGCACCGCTTATGGCCCCCTACCGCTCTAATAATTTTGAGCTGCACAAAATACTGTATGTGTATTTAAATTCGCGGAAGCAAATTTTCGCGGAAAGGTCCATTTTGGGGGTATATACAAATATTCGCGCTATTTTGAATTCGCGGAGGTGACAGGCGAAAATCATAAATTCGCGTACACCCATCAGGTTAAAAAGTCTTACATGATTAGGCAATGGTTTTCGCAAGCAGCCTTATTTCATTCAAAATACGTCTTACTCTAACCATTGTTGGATTTCACAGCTATTTTCAACACCTGGTGTCAAACCATACGCTATTGTACATAACAAAGACGATCAATTTGTCTAGCGTACAAATTATGGCACACAAAAGAATGTCCGTTAACGTGCGTGATTTTTCACAGTTTTAAACAGCACTTAATGAGACCATAATATTTACACCGATATTGTTATAATGTTGACTGAGTAATTGTGTTTTGTTTTCCATGTTTTCATCAGTTAAAATCGTTAAAGTTTGTGTTGTTTGTATTGTTTGTTTAGAAAAAAACAAAATATAATCTGGTCAGATGTCTAAACGTTTATGACTCAGACTATGAAATAAAACTACAAGGGTTTTGTTCAAACATATATATACTTATACAAGAACACGATAATCATATCAGTCAAACAATATTACACTAGCAAACTGATTTATATACAGAGCTGAATGTTACATGTACAGTTTATACAACAGTAAAATCACTCTTTGAAAGCGCCACGGATACCAGACTTATGGCAGCTGTGAACAAACTGATAGATGCGCGAAAATATGACTATTAAGAAATTATTGGTGTAGAAATATTCGCGCTGAACATGAATTCGCGGATCGAATGTCACCGCGAAGATCGCGAAAATTTGAAGCCCGCGAATATTTCTACACATACAGTATTGCGAACGGTGACGCGTAGGTCAGCTAGGTTAACGCAGAAATCTTGAATCCTGGACCACCGTTGCTTCGCAAGCTTTGCACGGGTGGTGATTTAACATTGCACAATCTTTGGTGGAGCAGTTTTAGGTGTTTTACGAGCGGATACGGAATGGTTGGAACGATGTCGGGCATGAACAGCGATCCATTGCGGTGATGAACTTTGGTTTGGCGATGGTATGGAGGTGTCGGAGCGGGACCAGAATGTGGCTATAAATACGGGAAGAAGTCTATCAGAAATTCTATCAAAGCGATCCGTACAGCTCCGTAGTCAAGAGAGGTATGCCGCTAACCAAACTATAAGCCCCGCCGAGCCAAAACCCAAATGCGCAGAACGTCACTCTATCACCACTCGCGACACGGCTTCATCAACTCTCGATACCGCTCGCTAAAGATAAGCCAACGCTATAGCAACACCGGCTTCAGCGGTACACTGCAAAGGTAACGGCTGTGTTTTCGATCTTCACCCCATTTTGTGCGCTGTGACGGGCGTTGTCGAAATTTGGTCCCCACACCCTATTGTTGCAGGAACGCTCCAACATAGTTTTTGCTGTGTGACCGGGCCTTAAAATAAAGTATGTCAAAGAGCTCGTTTTGAGGACTTGCCTTATTCATATTATCGATTTATATTCCGGTAATGACTGATGTTGCTTTTTATCAATTCTTATAACTTGTTTGTTGCTGCTGATATTGTCATCGCCATTTTATTGTTGTTGTCGTTTATGTGTATGTATCTTGGTTAGCTCAAGAATCTAATTTACCTATAAGGCATGCATTCTGTTGAGCAGATTTGAGATGTTTTGGCTCGATTCATTTTTAAAACAAATTTTTAATTGACATCTCGTTAGCGTACCTAATGGCTACTATGGTTGTGTCATTTATTGTGTGAGGAGGTCAAATTATTTTAAAATGTTAGTCAACGAGGCGTCAATATTGTTCTAATATAATGAACGATTGTCATAATTGGGTGTGCGACTACTTCGTTACACTGGTTTTTAGTTTTTATTCACAGCCATATATCAATTCTTCAAGATAGAATAGTTTGCAAAAGTTCTGGATATGTAAACAAAACCAAATATTTGGTTGTTATGCATTAAACGAATTACGAACAGATGAAACATGTGACTGATTTTAGATTGGACGATTTACCAAAGATCAATATAATGGGCATGTTTTATGCATTTGATGTTAACCGGCCTAACTCGTGTATATAGCACATTATCATACCATACAGACGGTACTGTTATTCGCTTTCAGATCGGTCGTTGTTTGATTTCATTTTATAAATCAGTGGCTAATAACAAAAATATTTAAATTTTAATACAATGGCTTTGATTGCAGGAATTATAATAATTAACACTGTTTTATTCGGAACAGTTTACTCAAACAAATGCAGTTCATTTGAAATAAGCAAGGACAATCTTAATAAAGCATTGATTGGTCATTCCGTGTTAGAAGTTAATGATAAAAATCATCACGATTGTGCGCGGACCTGTATGTCAATGTCCGTCTGTAAATCGTTCGACTTTGACAGAAACGAGCACGTGTGTAAATTAAACGATGTTGATCAGTCGTCCGTTGATCCATCGGAGTTTAAAACAAAAGGAGGCGCTATATTTTCTGATATCAGCGAATGGCCTAGCGTAAGTATCTCAATTTAATAATTGTTATAATTTGTACTTTTGGAAAGAGAAATGATTAAAAACTGAACCATAAGGGAACTAGTAATTCTTACATTTGAATTCTATATGAGAAGTTTATCGTAACATATGAATGTTATTTTCATGTCTGAAACTTGTATGCTGTTTTCATGTCTCACATTTAATTGTGCAAGAATATCATTTAGATGAACAATCTAAGAAATTTCTCTCATTGCAGAAGTGCGTCTCTTTGAGAAAATATGCATTTTAATACATCTTAATAATTCAACAAAGCAATTATTGATGTTACTTATATTCTTTCATTCTATTTATAGTCAATGGTTGGAAGTTGTAGCTCAAGGCCGTGTAAAGCGAACCAAAGGTGTTACCAAAATGGTGCTTCACATGTATGCAAAGACATAAGTACATGTATGTAAAATAATTATTTTTACACTTTTTCAGGATTAACAAACGCAGCAATAACATAATAGTAGTAAAATAAAACGCATTATTCTTGTAGCACATTTGCCAACAAGAAACTATATGTTCACATAGATATTACATAGGATACTTGATCACGATTTTCACTTAAAACGTTACATTTTCAAAATTGATCATTCATTGGCATTTTATTTGTCAAGTATTAGCTATTGTTTAGACAAAACATTATTATTATTATTTTTATTATTATTATTATTATTATTATTATTATTATTATTATTGTTATTATTATTATTATTATTAATGTTATTATCATCATCATCATTATTATTATTATTATTATTATTTTTATTATTTCCAGCCTGTGCTTTTGATCAGAAAATTGAAAATGGTGAAATACAAATTATTAGTCCTGACAAAAACAAGTTTTTAGACGTAGCTCAAGTAAAATGTGACAAAGGATATGTTCCTAGTCAACAAGAGGTGAAATGTGAGGCTTCAGGAAAATGGCAGCCTGCTACGTGCACGAAAGAAAAATGTAACGTATTTAAATATTGCTGTTTTTTTGTCTTAATACTTCATCTAAATTAGCCATGACAGCAGAATAAAAATTGTATTACTGGCGAGATCGTCTTTCAAAACATTTTCTTTTGCACTTAAAATGCTTAATTTATGCAAATAAATTAATATTTTATTATCTTAGTGTTCTTATATATAAAGGAAAAATAGGGGATATATTGGATGATGCATTTTAGACAGTTAATCTTTTTTTTTCATTTCATCAATCTATTTATTTTGTTTTATCCCCAGTAGTTGATAATGAAAAACCAGCAAGTACATTGTCACTATGATTAATTTAGAATAAATACAGGATCTTACAAACGGTATATTATTCTTTAGAATATTATAATTACTATTAAATGAACAAGCAATATTAGAAGATAACTTTCTTCCCTTTTTCTTGGCTTATTTAAGCAAAATTTCTACTGACATTGTTTTTATTATCGTTTCGAAATGAAATGATAGTCTTTGCTGACAGATTTTCTTTTCGGAGGTGAGTTTAGGAAAATGTTAATTACATCTTCATTATTTCAATGGTAAGCAAAATTTCTGATTTTTGACTACTCCCTAACTCGACCTTCAAGTTTGTTTTATAACTTACATGTAAAGTTTGGAATCAATTTGCATCATGCATAGAACATTTACTAAAAAGTTTTTTACTGTAGAAAGGTACATGGCTGTAGAAAAATTGCAATGTCGAAATACTTGTCATAGAAAATAAGAATGATTTCAATGTTACATTACCTCTCTGTTAATTTGATTCTTGTGCTCAAGTCGATATTACAAGAACTGTCTTATTACTTCATAAAAAATTCTTAGGTATGGTAAGATTTACCAACCATGTATATACATTATGACAAAAGTATATAATAGATAAATGTTACTTTTGATGCTTTTATTTTCACAATTTATGGAATTATTTGTAAAAACACTTGCATGAATCATTCATTCTTGTTACAAATACTGTTTTAATCTTTGCCTTGTACCAAGTGATTGTAAAGAAGTCCTTGATAAGGCTCCTGAGGCGAAAAGTGGACAATATGAGATAGAACTATTGACATCTGGAAAGATTCTGAGCGTGAACTGTGACATGGAAACCGAAGGCGGTCGTTGGACGGTATAAATTGTTGGTCCCTTTTTTGTCATATCCAAGAAATAACATATAAACATCTTTTACAATTATATGTTTTAGTAAATATCGGATGTTATTGCACGGAGTCGTCACACTTGTACAATGGTACCAAAAGCACTACATGGAACGGTAAAAAATGTCAAAGATGGGATGTGCAAAGTCCACACAATCATTCAATTGACTTAATATATGATTTCCCGGATGCAAGTCTAACTGCTGCCGAAAACTATTGTCGTAATCCTAATTATGATGGCGACGAACCCTGGTGTTATACGTTGGACCCGAATGAACGCTATACAACATGTGGAATACCACAGTGTTCATCCTGCCAAAAACGTAAAATATGTTTAGTTTCATCATTTAATAAAATATCAATGTAAATCTAGTTGACTGATAACTTTTGTCTGTTTTAAATACAAGCACAGTCCATTTCAGCATTAAATAATACAAGTGATTAAACAAATTATTACATAACAATAATAGTAATAACGACTCCTGTCGAGGAGTAGGTTCCGCTCTACCGATTGAGATATTGCGACATTTATTTCTTTTACAATTATCAGTCAAACGTACAATCATTTATAGATGTGCAACATTTTATTTTACCTATAAAGTATAAGGTGGACTGTTCCGTGCTAAAAATAAATATGTAGAAACTTCTGTTTTTCGTGCTCGGATTATGGCGCCACGTACTCTGGTAAAAAATAAATAGTTAACTCAGATTTTTTGAAATTGATTAAAGTAACAAAAATTTTACTGCATTTTCTTAAATGGTTATATGATCACGTTGTGTCTCGTGACGTCACGTGACGTCTCTATATTATTTTGGAATCTGCGCTTCTACAGCTTTTCTTCAATAAATAATAGAATAGAACAGAATGACCTTTAATAATCCAATCAAGGGTCATGTTAAATGATATAATTATATATATTTCACAATAACAATGTTTAAATAGATATAGTATTCAAAATAAAGCTTCTTTGTTAACAAAGCTGGATTTGTATTAACAATAACAATAAACTAAAAAAAGTAACTGATCACTTAAATTTTGCTTACTAGACTTAACTTTGAAACATCATATTGTTGTATATGATAATTGTATATGTATTGCTTTCTTTTAAAATACACATTTTGAAAGTGTTAACAAAAACAAGATTGTATTTGTGAGAAAAATTCTATGCCACCACAATATAATAATATATAACGTAGGAACAGGTGTAGCTTTTTTTTGCAATAATGCAGTTGTGTCTAGTGGAGATTGAGGGTCAAGATCATATTTCAACTTGTCAAATGAAGGAAAATGGCAGATGTATTTATTCGCTGAATCATGTTTACTATACTACTCCACTTTTGCAATCACAAGTATTCAGCAGATTTCTTTTACCATTTATGAAAATTTTGATATAGTAATGTTTCGAGATAATCCACTGATATGAATCCGTGTTGAAGACCTATCCGTCTAGGTAGCATGGAAAGCATGCACCCAAATATATCAGTGGTTTACATTTCTTACATCTGTAACTTTGATATGGCGAATGCTAACATTAGGCGGCATTTGAGAGAAGCAGAATTCTGGCTATAGGGATGGTGCAGCAGGGGGCCACCTTCCGCCAGGTTGGTGCGACTTGGTGTACACCACACAGCCATCCCCAGAGCCTGGGAGAGATACCGGGTACATGGTATACCCACCAGGAGGCATGCTGGAGGTTAGAAAAGGGTCACAAAATCACGCTGCATGTTCTTAAATCTTTAAAGAGGGGCGTTACCCTCTTCTCTAGCACAACATCAGTGTAAAACTCATTTATATGGTTAAATTTGACCTTTAGCTGAATTGATAAAACAGTAAATCAACATTTAAAACCTTTCGCATGGCGTTAATAAAATTATCCCAAAACATATTCACACTCAAACATATGGTGCTTAGCAAAAGTTGAGTAGTATATATACATTTAGAGACAAGAGGGCCTTGTGACCCTTTATCGCTCAACTGAGTATAAAGGCACAAAATATAGAGGCCTGATGATATTGATAACTTTGGATGAAAGGTCGGATTCATATCGAAATCTAGGTAAATTGAATTCGAAGTTCAATTCTTCATTCTAATATAAAAATCAGTGTAATATTGTAAATTGCTATGTAAAGAGATTTACAGCTTATATGGCTTAGCACTTATGAATATTTGCAAGCAATATAACCATCATCTTGCATCTCGGGGTATATTTACTCAAAACTATGCAATATGATTGAATAATCAAGAGATATCTGTCACTGAAATAATACCTTTGCTTTTATATGTTTCAGCAAATATCGGATGCTATAATCAGGGGGATTCACGCTCGTACAATGGTACAAAAAACACTACATGGAACGGTAAAAAATGTCAAAGATGGGATGAGCAAAGTCCACACAATCATACAAGGGACTTTAGTTATGATTTCCCGGATGCAAGTCTAACTGCTGCCGAAAACTATTGTCGTAATCCTGATCATGACGGCGACGAACCCTGGTGTTATACGTTGGACCCGAATGAACGCTTTACAACATGTGGAGTACCACAGTGTTAACAATTAAAGATCCTGTATGTTGTAATGAGGGTTGTAACCACACTTGAGTGAAATTTTATATATGTATATAACCATGCTTCTAAAACTAAAAAGAATATGTAAAAATGAACTGCAAAATATTTATGTACATTTTATCCCCAGGTTCAGGGACACATTTCAAGCAACAAAGTATTCACTGACAAGTCCCTCTGGGCGTGCGTCTAATGTGTTGTCAATATATTCCTTAGAAGCTAAAATATTACCTTTTTTGTAGCCTTGTGACCATGTCCTTTCTTTAATTAACCAACGCATAACTGGAAAATTTGATGTCAACGGTAATAGGTCTGTCATGGCATTTAATCTGGGAGGATCTTACATTGAGCAATGACAGCCTTCTGGATAAAACTGTCCCTAAAAGAGGAAGTGAAAAGCTGTTGGTCAGACGAGGGCAAAATTAGTGTGCTTCTGACAAACAGAAGAAAGACAAAAGTAGACATGATTGTGTAAAGACCTCTCAATGTCTTTATTGTGAAAGAGTGTGAACAGAAGGTTGAATGTACTGTATGTGACATTGAAGATACTATGGAATTAGGATACAATCTGTGGATTGATGTGTTATGTGTTTAAACTGTTGATAAGTACATGAATGTTTTATTTTTTTACCACATGTGTTTGTTGATTTATGTGAAAAATGCCCTGACATGATTGATTTTCGATTCGATCAGTTTTCATTGGTCGTAAATTTGACCACTCTTTATCTAGTGGTGTGATAACGCAGAATAACTAAAGTTTAAATCTACTTATTTCTTCCAACCGCCTTCTTTATAATTCGGATTTCCCAAGAAAGCTATTTTAGCCATGCAATCAAACCGGTTTTTACAAATAGGCATTAGAAGAAGTATCAAAGTACCATTTTCCATCGTAGAAAAACAAATTGTTTTTTTTTTTTTGTTAAAAAAAATTGAAGTATCTATTTCCTGAAAAGCTCAGCAGGTAGAGCACAGGGCTCATAATATCGATGTCGTTGGTTCGATACCTACTAATGCCATTATCATTTTTTTATAAATAATTGTGTTTATTTGATGTGTATAGGTAGAGCGCAGGGTTGATAATATCGATGTCGTGGGTACGACACCTACTCATGCCACTATTATTAATTTCTAATGATTGTGTTTTTTATGTTTTGATGTTTGATGTTTATATACTTTTTCATGTTCATTCATCTTCTTTCAATAACGTTCTGTTCATGGTCAATCTGGAATATTCGTTTTTCAAGAAGTTTAGTATTTTAGAATATTCGTTGATAGTTTATATATGATGAATGTTTGTTCTTTGAGGTGTGTGCTAATTTGTGATATACTGATTGTGTGCTACTTTACCTGGGATAATGTGACATAGGAATATATTAGTTTGGATTATGTAATTCTGTGTGGGAATTGTTTGTTTTGGACATGATATAACATTCTGCTGTGGACATTGGACATTGAGTAAAGCTGAGTTGTGGACATTTGTGTTTCGAACTGTGAATTAAACTTTAGAACATTTGTAAAATTAGAGTCGTGGATAATTTCAGTTTAACTATACTTCCATATTTTTCTGTATTATTGTAAGAAAAACTGTTGTTGTTGTTTTCTTTTAATTAAAACATGTAAAATGTGTTGCTGCGTTATCTTTTCTGTTGCGTTTAGCTCTATACAAAGTAAACTTTTAATGTTTTGCGAGTTACCTGCCGGATCCATGGACAACACCATGTTTGTTCTCGAAATTGTGCAATTTCCTTCTCAGTAATGGTTCTCCAAGAGATGAAATTAGAAACCGCATCTGTTTCAAAATAATGAAAGCTAGTCGATGATTGCTTGTTTGAAGTTGACCGCCTATTGGTGAATGTTAGATCCTAATGATTAGCGTAATTTAGGAGCAAATTTTAATTGACATGCAGAAGAACACATTTAATAATTAATATTTGATAAGCCTATGCAAAAGCATCTACACGTAACAGTGGACGTCACTAAATACTGAATACTTCAACTTTGTTAATAATATGTACTTTTTATATCAAGTATTATTAAATATAGTGCCAATTTTTTCATAAATAAACGTCAGACAGTGCCAAAAGAATTTTGGAAAGATGTTTTTACTGGTTTTATCAAGTTGCATATACAGTACCCCCAGGAATTCGAGTGAATGTTGCATGAAACATGCATGACAAGAGGTACAACTCTTAACAGAACATCTACATTAAAATAGCAGGAATTGTTTCTCTTCGGTTATAAACCAAGTGATTGGATGATTATGATAATACTTACAGCACTGAGCTTTGCTCATTCAACTAGCTTGCAACTTTGGCAAACAGCCAATATACACACTATCCGGTCTGATTCTTTGTTGTTTGCCATCCTGCCAGTATTTCTAATTGTTTATTGTTCGAATCGTTGTTATGATAATATTTGACGCAGTTTTTCTAGTAAAGGACAATTTTGTTCGAAAGTTTGTTAAGATTATATTTGACGCAAAGGGATAATTTTGTTATAAAGTTTGAACCAGGTTATGTAACAATGTTATGTTGAGAATTCATCTTTCGATTTGCAAGAAGTTTTACCGATAATGAAGTATGAGCCGCGTCACGACAAAACCAACATAATGCGCAGGCTGGTCTGGATCCATGCTGGTCGCAAACGCATTTTGTTGGTTTTGTCGTGATGCAGCTCATATTATCACTTCTGAAAAGAAATCCGTTTCACTAATATTACGTTAAAAATAGTTCTGGCATTAATAACGTTTTACAATATTGGTAAGATGCTATTGAATTACCTTTTTATAATTCTTGTAGAACCTTAAATTAAATCGTGTTGTTCCTCCTTAAACGTATATCTCTTTATATTGTTTGTAGATGCATAAACATTCGGTATTGTAGAAAACAAAATTGAACATTATACATGTATCTTTTATTTATTTTTTACAAAGTTCATTATCTTGTTGTTAATGAATTAATTTCAAACAAATTTGACTACACAAAATCTGTCAAGTTGAGCAACCCGAGTTTAACCTTAACCTTCACGTTAGTAATTTTCATAAAATTATCCAAATCTTTAGGATGAATTAATGAATTTAATTTATATTTTAAAATAAAAATTTCGGACAATATCGGCATGTGATGTTACAACAGTATGACCTTAAACTTAAATTGCCCTCGACCCTCTAGGACAAATATAAAAAAATGAATTCCGTTAAACTTATTCTTACAGCACATTTAACTTTAATATTTTGACCCGGAGACATGTTAGCAAACATAACCATACTGATGGATATGACTTATTGATTATGGCCACAATGAAATTTGCTGCAACGTTGTTATTTATTGATATGTTTGGTTTATACTTGGACAAAATAACATTCTGTACCGAATTATTAAATTCAATTATTCAAAATATGACCTTGAACTTTGAAAGGCCTTCAAACATACAGGCCTCTATCAGAGATTTTGCCTTTAAAGCAAGGAAACGTAAGGCTTGGTCCCAGTGTGTGGTTGTGTGTGGTTGTATCACATTCGGTGATAATTCTAGTTGTATCAAATATTTACCTGTTCAACATACAATATATATCTAATTTGAACACAATTAGAAATATTAATACTTTTCAATCCATGGATACCCAACTGTTATGAAGTAATTGAAAATACTGTTAACGTTTATCATATTAACAATGTTAACTTGAAGTAAACACCGAAATTCTCTGCGGACACAAAGTCCATAGAGGGAGATCCGAGCTAATATAAATATATTTGACTCGTTAACAAATTCAGAATTACACTTACACTCATTCAGTATCCTCTACATATTGTATTCACCCTCAAGGTACTTCTAAAATTCTTATCTGCAAATAAGCAATGTCAGCAGAATTCATAATACCAGGTAATATGACGTTTTATTACCCCTCACTTTTTTTGTAATGCTAATTTCCCATAGGCCTCTGGGAGTTATTTTTACTGTTAATGCAAGTGTACCACGTGACTAAGAATTTTGTACTGTTACATAGGTAACAGTATTTTTTAACAGTATAAAATTTGGTCACGTGGTCTACTTTCTAAATAAAATGAAATAAAATGGCTGCCCTTTTTTTTTTCTCGATTCATTCTTATTTTCGACGTTAAACCCCGATAGGACATCAATTTCTTCTCTGGAGTAACTATGACACTCATAAAATTTAGTTGTTCGCACCTTGGTGTGCTTTTCGCGTATAAAATATATGTTTGATGAATAGTCAGAAAGTGAACATCCGTTTTCAACGGAAGTAATCGCAATGTAAATAATTATGTGTCAAACTGGAACATGCAGACGATTTAAGCATGCAACAAAGGATTATTTAACAATTTTAATCAGTGAAACGTTACAGATATGGTGGACAGACATAGGATATCATCGTTATTTTGTCAAAAACCATGCTAAGAATATTCTGGAAACAGAAGGATCAGATTTCACAGAATGGGTTAGTGTTTTGTTTTATAAATAAAACCTAACTTATTGTATGTTTATGTTTTGTAGATAGCATCACTTGCTTAAAGCATTAAAGAAAAAGAAAACTTCTCAAGTAGGCCTAAAGTGCACTTAAAACTTAAAAGGTAAGAACAGTTTAGTTATTGTTACTCTGGGTTTATTTTTGTTACAGTTAGATTTAGTTGACAATCAGATCATCACAGTATTTTTGTTCGGGGTAATAAGATAAATAACACATGGGTTTGTGAGTAACAGTAACAAGCTACGCCTCGGGTAACAGTATTTTCCTCGGGGTGATATTTTTTACAGTTACCCACAAACCCATGTGTTATTTATATAATGTCAGGTGATTTAGACGTTACAATGCCAGTTTGAATTACCCAAAAACTGGTTTTTCCATGTTAACACTTAATTTTGGTGAAAAATTGTTGTTTCTTGACATTTTATATTTTTTAATTATCCAAAAATGATTACCAAAATTCCATGTGAAGCGTGCCGTTACGCCTAATTTTGGTGAAAAAAAATGTTGTTTTTTGACATTTTTTATTTTTTAATTAACCTTTTATCCCATAAGCATATTCTCTGTAACAGCATGCTGAATCGTAAATTTACCCCGAAGCATATTCTCTGTAACAGCATACTCAATCGTAAATTTCCTGTTACCATGGCAACGGGGGGACGTCTCAAAATTGCCAAGAAATCACTATTTTGCATTCTTTTTTCCACCAAAACGGATTTCCATGCTGCAACTTCTCAATGAATTGAGATAGAGTAAAAGGCTTTTCAGCGTCGGTTACTAGTTTACTAGTTACCCTAAGATCGGCCTTAGGCCTTTTTTAGCCTGTCAAATGTCCCAAATTTTCTTGGCGATGGCAAGGACATCCGCCCCCTTCACCCCCCCCCCTCAGACTGACACAGCATATGCCATATTGCTACGTTCCAGCTTTACTGATGGAGGTAGACTTCAGGTGCCCCATCCGTGCATTATTTTGGGCACGAACGTGCGGGCACCTCAGTAGAACCACCGGCGTTCCGTAGCTGGATAGGTCTTGAATGTAAAATCCGTTAACGGTATAAAATGATGAAAGCGGCACACGTGCATATTTCTGTAAATTAATATGTTGTAATGAGTGATATAATTATGTTTTTATCACACACCCGTGCTGATTTTGGGACTTCGTAAAAATGGAAGTGTACGGCCGTGCATATAATTTGGTACATGTTAGCGTTATACTATAGGCGCGTCAATGAAAAATGCCTCTTTTTCACTTTAAACGGTCTTTATTTTGGTTATGTGATAAATAGAATATTAAATCCGTGTATGTTCATTATTGAATTTATTGAGCTCGTTGAATAAAATTATATTATGCCCGCCAGAGTCTCGCATAATATGATTTTATTCAACTCGTGCAATAAATTCAGTTTTGAACATACCCTCATTCAATATCCTCTTTATATACAAGAGTACAAATCCAATGATATAACCTAGTTTAAGGAACTTATTTTTCAAACAAATTGTCTATAACTTGTCCAAATATACAAAACAATTTCATTTAATTAGTTAACATGTATATTTTTGATGATAGAAATAGCAATAAAGTTTCCTTATTATTAACGATGCATTCAAAGTTTCATTTGGTTATTACTCCTTATCTATTTTAATCTTTTCGATTTAAGTTCTTTAAAGATTTGTTTCTTAATCTGGACGCGGAACGGTTTGAGTAATAAGTGTAGTATAGAAATTTACGATATTTGAATTGTTATATTAAAGAGACTCAATTGAGATCTTTTGACAGAACGGGGTCGGAAATAAAATTTCGAGATAAACGTTCCAGTTGATGTAGGTCTAGACTCTAAGCTTGTATGCAAAATTTCAGATCATTCACTCACTCCGTTTTTTCGGAATATTAATCTAATGGTGACAAATGATCAAAAATTAGAAAAGCGTTGCAACCTTTTTCACTCAAATTGGGCTTTCAATTCATGAGTCTTAATTGTTTATGTTAAAGGAATTTGAGCCGCGCTCTGACAAAACCAACATAGTGCGTTTGCAATCAGCATGGATCCAGACCAGCCTGCGCATCCGCACAGTCTGATCAGGATCCATGATGTTCGCTTACAAACCCTATTACAAGAAGAGAAACTGATAGCGCACAGTATGGATCCTAATCAGGATGCACAGTCTGGTCTGGATCTATGCTGGTCGCAAACGCACTATGTTGTTTTTGTCTTGGCGCGGCTCATTTATGACTTTTTTTCTAAACGTTACCTCTATGATGATCTTTCATCAACGACGCCATGTCATCTTTTCCTACAAATAAAGTAGTTCACACAGATTGTAAAATAATAACGCATGATAAATATATATTATTACCTAGCGGTACTCAATTCTCAACACTTAATAGTGCTGGCGTCAATGATCCCGAAGGACCAGAAAAATATAACAACACTGAAGTGAAGTACGGGGCAACTTTTTACAGCTGCCACACAGCACTTGACACATGCTGTTGTGAAGTATAAAAATCTGGAAACAAAGTGATCCCTCGGAAGCATTAATCACAACAAAATTAAATAAGAAATGCAGACTCGGTTTGATTGAGTCTGTACATGAGAGATAATGAATAAGTGCAACATCACTCACGCCCCCTAGCACCGGCTTGAGCGGTACTCAATTCTCAACACTAAATAGTGCTGGCATCAATGATCCCGAAGGACCAGAAAAATATAACAACACTGATGTGAAGTACGGGGCAACTTTTTCAGCTGCCACACAGCACTTGACACCTGCTGTTGTGAAGTATAAAATCAGGAAACAAAGTGATCCCTCGGAAGCATTAATCACAACAAAATTACAAAAGAATTGCAGACTCGGTTTGATTGAGTCTGTACATGAGAGATAATGAATAAGTGCAACATCCCTCACGCCCCTAGCACCGGCTTGAGCGGTACTCAATTCTCAACACTTAATAGTGCTGGCGTCAATGATCCCGAAGAACCAGAAAAATATAACAACACTGAAGTGAAGTACGGGGCAACTTTTTACAGCTGCCACACAGCACTTGACACCTGCTGTTGTGAAGTATAAAATCGGGAAACAAAGTGATCCCTCGGAAGCATTAATCACAACAAAATTACAAAAGAATTGCAGACTCGGTTTGATTGAGTCTGTACATGAGAGATAATGAATAAGTGCAACATCCCTCACGCCCCTAGCACCGGCTTGAGCGGTACTCAATTCTCAACACTTAATAGTGCTGGCGTCAATGATCCCGAAGAACCAGAAAAATATAACAACACTGAAGTGAAGTACGGGGCAACTTTTTACAGCTGCCACACAGCACTTGACACCTGCTGTTGTGAAGTATAAAATCGGGAAACAAAGTGATCCCTCGGAAGCATTAATCACAACAAAATTACAAAAGAATTGCAGACTCGGTTTGATTGAGTCTGTACATGAGAGATAATGAATAAGTGCAACATCCCTCACGCCCCCTAGCACTGGCTTGAGCGGTACTCAATTTTCAACACTTAATAGTGCTGGCGTCAATGATCCCGAAGGACCAGAAAAATATAACAACACTGAAGTGAAGTACTGTAGTAAAGTCGTATATCTAATAGAGCATCACAACACGAGGCTATCTGATTTGTACTATCAATCGGATTGCCGAGTATTTTGATGTTCTTTCTTTTTTGCAACATAGAAAATAAGAAAAAAAAAACATCTCTTTCTCCGGCGTCGGAATATGAAAACCCAGAAAAAAGTTTATTCAATAGCCGAAATATGTTTTTTTCATTCTCCATTTCCCTGTCGTCACAACAAGTAAACCCTCACTCTGTGAAATATGTCTCGATTTTACATGCAAAGCAAATCAATATTTTCTCTTTTTTCTCCCAGGCTAGGGAAATGAGAAGGTGAAGAATACACACATTATAAATGGCCAGTAAAGTATAGACTATTAAAGTATAGACTAATTTCGGTTGACAAAAATTGTCGACTGTGTACTGTATAAATATTTGGAAAATGATGTCTTACCAGATATTCTTTCATCTTCTCTTACATGTCTTAAAGCGTCATCATAATCTGAAACTTTTCGTTTTAAAAGTGAAAAGTTCGGTGTGTTTTTTTAAACTTATTTCCTTTTAGATCAACACTTGTAGTCAAAAGTTGGGCAAACATTTATAACATTTAGACATAACATTTTCATAGCTGATAATGCATCGAAATGTTAATTTATCGTAATTTAATTGATCAAAACAGATTGATTTATTTAGTTTACTTTCTCATCATACAAAACACATACTGATATGTATGTGAGTAATCCATCATACAGAAAAGTATTGTAATATAGAGCTTTTCAAGCTCACAAAAACCATCTTCTCAAACTTTAAATACACATATGAAATTCAGGTCTAAAAAGTTCTCATCCAAACTTACCCATTTCTTCTCCATTCCCAACACCTGAAATATGATAACAATACAATCAAAATTGAGGTTTTATTTGTGAAACCGTCTGTGCAAAAACAGCATAACATTCTTCTAAATGGTTCTCCAGCATTCCAATTTTCAATATGTCTTTCTCACAGGCCTTTCCCTTGAAATTTTGCCAGGCACAGGGGCAAGTTTCCGCGGAAACATTTTGTAACATATACCTCAAGAAAAATGACTATTTTTAGCATTTATCACATGTTTGATTTACTAAAATATATAATTTAACTTTTGATCAGTATTTCAACCTTAACACCTTAACACCACAAACTGAACTTGCCAAAGCATAATATAGTTGTTGTCAGAAACAAAATTAGAACAATCATCTTCATATCCATATCCAAATGTAGCATTAGAATAAACTGAACTTACCAAAGCATAAAATAGTTGTTGTCAGAAACAAAATTAGAACAATCATCTTCATATCCATATCCAAATGTAGCATAAGAATAATGTAAACTAATATTTAATGTAGATTTTCAGTTTGAAAAAGAAGTTGCATATGACTGTGAGACGGTTATTTATGATATGGTACGCCATTTAATAGCTATTTTATATTATATCAACTTTGTAACATACCGTGCAAAAGTATCATTTGCATAAATTCAATTTAATTTTATGTTTTCCTATTATATATCTTGTATTAAATAGCATTCGCATTCAAATCATCAAAAATCGTGCGTGAATTAGACACATTTATACTTTTTTTAAGTTTTGAAAACAATATTCTAATGAGAATCGATAGATGTATGAAGTTTACATTACATATATATTTAAATAGAAATACCTTTTTGTGGAGAAAATTTAGTATTATAATATATTGAAGCAAATACAAATGGACAGGTATCTCAAATATTGATAAAAACATAGAAAAGTAGAACTATGATAGGTTTGTTTCTTGACCGATTCATTTTACTGATTCAACCATCAAAAACATACATGTACTTGTGTTTACCCCGAAAAACATTTTTAAGTAATTTTTTACTCTATTTATTTATAATTACAATATTGAAAAGCATGTAAAATACAAAGAAAATGATAATATTCAGGACACATTTGTTTTGCTGCTGTTCTTTTTAAACGTATAATAACCTTTAATTACTTCAATTTGTATTATTTTCGTTCAATCGTTTTCATGTAACAGCCCATCATGTGCTACATATTAGACAATCAAGTATCCAGAAAATTCATACTCTTTGTAACGTCATAGATCAACCATATCACCTCACATGACAACCCCGCGCCGAATGTGTTTTTTGCTTGCTGGGAAACGGAAGCATTATGGTTTTCAAACAATAATTTTGGTAATGAAGATTAAAGTTTAAAGTGATTACAGTTTTGTATTGGACAAAAACTAAATATAAACTAAGGGAGATTATTAAAAATGATAGTACTACTATTACATCTCTTGCTCACTGCGCTTCGTCTAATTGTCATCTACCATATTTTTATTTCCAGTTTCCAAATCCATCTCATTTTCTTGAAGGATTGTACATGGTCCTGAAAGAAGTGCGCATGGTGCTGCAGGACACAGTGTTTAAAGAAGTGCACATGGTGCTGAAAGGAGTACACATGCTACTTAAAGGAGTACGCATGGTGCAGAAAAGAGTACACAATGTGCTGAAAGGAGTACACATGGAGCTGAAAGGAGTGCACATGCTACTAAAAGGAGTGCACATGGTTCTGAAAGGATTGCACATTGTGCTGAAAGGCGTACACATTGTGCTGTAAGGAGTGCACATGCTACTTAAAGGCGTACACATGGTGTTGAAAGGAGTGCACATGGTTCTGAAAGGATTGCACATGGTGCTGAAAGGATTGCACATGTTGCTGAAAGGATTGCACATGGTGCTTAAAGGCGTACACATTGTACTGAAAGAACTGCAAATGGTACTGAAAGGAGTGCACATGGTGCTAAAAGGAGTGCACATGCTACTTAAAGGAGTGCATTTGGTGCTGAAAGGAGTACAAATGCTACATAAAGGAATGCACTTGGTGATAAAAGGAGTGCACAGGTGCTAAAAGGAGTGCAAATGCTACATAAAGGAATGCACTTGGTGATAAAAGGAGTGCACAAGTGCTAAAAGGAGTGCACCTGGTGCTGAAAGGAGTACAAATGGTGCTGAGAGCTGAAAATAGTGCACATGGTGCTGCCGGATTGTGCATTGTGCTGAAAAGATTGCGTATGGTATTGAAAGGAGTGCACATGTTGCTGAAAGTCGTGCACATGATGTTGAAAGGAGTAAACATGGTGCTGAAAGGAGTGCACCTGGTGCTGAATGACATGCACATGGTGCTGAAAAGAGTGCACATTTCGTTGCAGGAGTGCGCCTGGTGCTGCAGGAAGGCACATGGTGCTGAAATAGTGTAAAAGTGCTACAGGAATGTGTATGTTTGTCTATGTTTCTATAAAAGTCGAGGAACAGAAAAAAACGCAACATTTTTTTGACAGTTTGAAAGTTTTCAAATTCTACAAAAAGTAGAGGGGAAATTTAAGGCCGCGACTTTTGTTACTCAACAACGGTCTCCCGGTATAAAAAAATCGAGGCTTTATGCTCAAAACCGTTGTTTTTTACAAGGTATGCATAAATCAAAATATCGCGTATTATTGTATCTGGAATCTGCTACCTACAGAAGGCATATGTTTGAGAAGCTTTGTCAATTATGTGGACAGAAAATGTCGCGGTTTCCAGAAAAACTAGACTTTATATAAGTCGCGACATTTTATACAATTTCGACATAAAACCTCGCGGATTAAAAACTTGCCCGCGACATTTAGTGACGAAAATTTCTCGCGGCTTTAAAATGGACGCTACTGGCCGCCATAGCTTAATCCTCAATTGACTTAACTTATCTCGACTTTATTAAGCTTTTATCATATGTGATATGTTATATCTGTATAATGACAGATTTTCTGTGCAGACTTGATGTTGTACCATTCAGTTATTCACTCAATACAGAATACATGTAAATATTCAGTGTGTATGTAGTATATAACTTGCATATGTCATCTTACAATTTTCTTTCTACATTATAATGCAGGTGAAAGTATAACTTTCATGCAAAATGAATTAAATCAGAAATAATCATATAATCAAAATTTTCAATTTTCACAATGTTTAAGTCAATATTTTCTAAGATAACTTTAAAAAAAAACTTGCAATATTTTCTATAAACCAAATAATAAGAAGGAACAGTGTTCATTAATTTTTCAAACTTTATTATATTGGGATTTCTATAATTGATGTTTGGATTGCATTACGCGCATTTTTTTTCTGTTATAAAGGTATCCTATGTCAGTTTCCAGTTTCAATTCTCTTTCTGCATTTGATGATATATTTTATATTCCGATAATTATAAGATGACCCACTAACATATCTCTGAATTTCAAATTTGTTTTTTTGAAAATACAATAATATTTACAGTTTAATGTGTTTTCTATAAAGTTATTTAATGTATAACATTGATATCGTAACATGTCATAACATGACTTCTGTAACTATAGACTTCATTATTAAATAACTTTTCAATATAAGGCACGTCTTCGCTAATATGAAGTTCACCACGACATTATGAACATAAAACAAGGTCATTATGCAAATAGTACCGCCTTTTTTTATTGAAAAAATCGGCAGTTTAAATTGCTGCAATTTAGGTTTCCGTGACATTTTTTAAAACATGGATCTCATTGCAATACCTCACACCAACGGAATTTCACATTAGTTATTTTTATTCACTAAGTCTACTTGACTTTTTTTAGAGTATGTGTAGTTAATTAATAAAATTGCCTTTGACTGCTAATATGATAGTCTGCAGCCCAATAACAAGGCCATTATGAAAACACTTAATTATTATAATCATAATAGTAAATGCGTTTGATACACTTGATACTCATTTTCACACACTCTGTGCAAATTTTCAATAGAAATGTCTCCAAAATATGATACAAAATATAGAATGAATTACTTTAAAAAAGTTACAATATAAAGATGGGCTGTTGAAATGAAACTTGAAGCATCGTTTCAGCTTGTTATTTGAATCTAGATAACAATAATGGTTTAGATACACAGTTTTTTAATTATATTTTGTTTCGTTTCGGTCTATAAATTCATTTACAGTCAGTAGCGCAGTTAATATATAAAATTACTTTCATAAAGGTGTTTTATCAGAAAGTAGGAATACATGACTTAAACAGCACCCATACCCGCCAGGTAAGTTAAATTTAGCCATTTAAATATGCTTGCTAGATATGTTAGATATATGTTGTTTTTGTTTTTTTTGGTTTTAATTACTATAATTTGACAATAGTGGTCACATTAATTATATAAACCACCATATCAATTTTACCAGATTTTTCAATAAGGTTAACGCACGTTTAGCCGTGTTATAACGTCTGCACAGTCCCGAGGAATGGTTGGCTCCAACAGTTCCGAGGGACTCTGCAGACTTTATAACACGAAAAATACGTGCGTTGACGCTTTTATAGCATAAAATTTTAAAACAGATTCACGATGTACATTTAATTCTTAAATCAGTGTGCTTTTACCGTATTTATCCAATTCTACATGTTTTACGTATGCGTTTTATTTTTCCGGGGCAAACAACTTGGGAAATTCTCAAAACCGATCGAAATTTTGAATATTACTTGATTTAACAAAGCTTGACATTGGAAATTTATCATTTCAAGAAAAAAGCAACGTAACATTACTCTACCCTCTACCCAAGACAAAACATGACCCTCAGAAAATCTTAGAATGATTTCAGATTGACGGTAGAAAAAATATCAGTGACATAAGAATCGGTTTTTTTTTTCAAGCACACAAGTCTATAAAAAAATCAGGCACTAAACATTATTCTCTCAAAGAAATATAAAGAACATTTATCAACACAAACATCAATCAAACAACATTTTCTCATATACATTTTGTGTTATCTTGTTTTGTAAGTTAATCGGAGGGTTAAACTGAATGACAGGTATTTGTTTATATTGACAATTGTCCGTTTCTTAGATTCTTAAATTCAATAAATATTTAAATAAATAAATAAATAAAATAGATAAAAAATAGATAAATGAATAAATAAATATATATATGAAATAAATAAAGATATAAACAAATACTGCATCAAATGGCAATACATGTACATGAATAGGTAACTATCTACGAACTATATAAGGGCCGAATACTGTATCAAACATTTCGCTTTATTTTCAAACTGAGTCATATGTCAAAGCAGTCAGTTAATTATGTTATTTGGACAGTACTTATAAGTATCCTGTTTGAACATGAAACATTTTATACAGTTTACGCGGGCTTTTTAAGCTCACCCTACTTTAGTAACCACATTTTCTAAGCTCCTCCTTCTTTAGTAACCACATTTTTAAGATCTTCCTATATTTGTTATTACATTGAATTTGTGTTTTTGTACACTGATACAACGGATACATGTATAACTTTTTACTCCAGTTATAAATATGACTCATTGAACACTTTTATGTGCAAAAATACCTTCAATTTTCATATTTGTTTTTAAATAATTAAAAAAGATGGGTTGTATTTTTTCTATGGAAATTTTCCCTGCGGAACCTAGATTGTTCTCATAATGCGCACTAAAATGCTGTTACTTAAGTAGGAGAAGCTTAGAAAATGTGGCTGCTAAAGTAGGAGGAGGCGTTAACTGTATAAAATGTTTTATGGTTAAGCAGGATAATTATAATGTTGCTAGAGAAAACGAGAAATTAAACATATTAACTGACCCTTTGAAATAAATATATGTTGTCTTTATTTTTTATCAAAATCATTCATAAACATACGTCTAAATTAACAGTTAAACCGCTACGTTCCGCGAGACTGTCAGTGACATTTTATTAAGGTAAAACATTAATAATAGTTCTACTGGAGTTTTAAGTTCACCATCAACATGAAAAAAGCGACTGAAGCATGCTTATTTTTTTAATTAAATTTTGTACCGACCGAATGTCGGGAACATTGTATCAAGATACAGATTTTAAAAATTTTCTACACTGGAGATTTATTATCATCTGTTCATCGGTATATCAAAATGAAAAAAAAAGACTGATGTTTAAAACAAAATGTGTAACGACCGTATCTTTTATACTATGTTTGGTAGAAATATATGAACTTTAAAAATTATGTGGGATACAAATAACCTATCTCTCATATCTAATATTAAATGAAACTATATCAAATTCAAAATAAAGGTTATAGTTTATGTATTACATTAAGATTTTTGGTAAATAACTTCTATAGAGAAATATAATCCGTATCGTGTCTTTCATTATACTTTTAAGAAATATATATTTCGTAATAAATACGAAACAGGGTTTTTCTCTTTTTTTACTCTCTTTTTTTATGATTTTGATAAACGTTATGTTATTTCACACTTTATTTTGGATAACTTAGGAAAAGACTCCATCTCCAATTAAAAGTTTTCATATTTGTATTGCACCTGTCTAGTGTTTGTACAATGCATTCGTTGGGGAGACAGCCGATATCCAATTTTGTCAAAATAAATATGTGACGACAGTGTGACGCCATTTTTTCTTTTATTTTTTATGTTTAATTTTTTTAGTCTTATATCTATTTGGTCTCTACAAGTGATTGACTACTTCAGATAAATAAAACATGTGCATACATTTTCAGATCTTTCGGACAAGACTTTAATACAGAGAATTTGTTTTTTACTTGTCTTGCCTTTTTAAATATCTAAAACTCAACATATAAGTTAACTGTTTCGTGATAAGTCATTTTATCTAAACACAGAATGGTTAAACTTGGTAACGTGCTGGTTTTGTGTGTTGCATTTGTGACGTCAGCAGTAAGTGAAACATGCAACGAGACGCCATCTTGTTCAATTTTCCCAAACCAAGACCGCGGTGTTGTGACCCTACAAGATCTAACTCAGGTAACACTTACTGTCTTTTTTTAAACTTTGTAATACGTTTAATATGAAAGAAAATAAAGTTGTAAGACTTCAAAGATCTAATTTAACATTTCTTTAAAAGAAGAAATCTCAAATGTTTTAGCATGAGTAGGAAGTAAGTATGTAGATAGGTAGGTAGGTAGGTAGGTAGGTAAGTAGGTAGGTCAGACAGGCAGACATGCATGCAGGTAGGTAGCTAGGAAGGTAGGTAAATAAGTTTGACGGACGGGCGGTCGGTTGGTTGGTCGGTCGGTCGATCGATCGATCGGTCGGTAGGTAGGGCAGGCATGTATATAGGACAGAAAGAACATGTGGCGGCATGGTCGAGTAGTTAACGCGTGGGACTTGTAATACAATGATCTCTATTTGCTTGGGTTCAAACACCGTTAGGGGCAAGCCTAAGTATCCTTGAGCAATAAACTTTAAACCCATTTCTCAGTTCTGGCCACATGGTTCCAGGAGCAGATTCGCAAGTGTGCCTATAAGCTTATAGACTGCTGCACAATCCGTGTAAAACTAATTATGTACAACAACAACAACAACATGACATGCATTCTGTCCTTATATCAAGAATATTAGATCTAAGGAAAATATAATTTATGATTATTGTGCACTCCCTCTCTGATATAAATGTTTCAAATATATAAAAAGAAACAGGCAAGGGTCTAGGTCTTTCAACAGAACTGGATGCTTAACTTCACAAAGGCGTAATGCATATTTCAGATGGTATTTGGCATATTATAAGTTTTCCAAAGGGGGTCAATTGTCTAGTCGTTTAGTGTGTGATTTTACTAGTTTTGTTTAATTAAAATAAAACGTTATTTGATTTCCAATTTTCAAAGGGGCTGGACAATATAAGACAAAATCAACATTCTTTGACTTCCAGTTTTGACCAAGGTCCCGCGCCTGTAGAAGCTAGTACACGTATTTGTTTAATTAAATGATATTTATGTAAATTAAACACAAATAACTTATCAATAATCTTTATTACAGAAAGTGCAATCAAAACACTGGATAATGATTTACTACACGCAGTTTTCGTCCACACAGACGTATGGTAAATGTAACTTCAGGTGGAATGCTCCAAATTCCGACCAGAACGTCAAGAGAGAGTTAATGTGCTAGTAAGTCTCTGATAACAAACTTGATAAAAATGTTACTACTGATACGTGCTATCTCTGAAAATAAAACATGAAAAAATTGTTACTACTGATACGTGCTATCTCTGAAAATAAACATGATAAAAATGTTACTACTGATACGTGCTATCTCTGAAAATAAACATGATAAAAATGTTACTACTGATATGTGCTATCTCTGAAAACAAACTTGATAAAAATGTTACAACTGATACGTGCTATATCTGAAAATAAACCATGTAAACATGATAAAAATTTTACTACTGATACGTGATATCTCTGAAAACAAACTTGATAGATATGTTACTACTGATATGTGCTATCTCTGAAAATAAACATGATAAAAATGTTACTACTGATACGTGCTATCTCTGAAAATAAACATGATAAAAATGTTACTACTGATACGTGCTATATCTGAAAATAAACCATGTAAACATGATAAAAATGTTACTACTGATACGTGATATCTCTGAAAACAAACTTGATAGATATGTTACTACTGATATGTGCTATCTCTGAAAATAAACATGATAAAAATGTTACTACTGATACGTGCTATCTCTCAAAACAAACTTGATAATAAGGTTACTACTGATTCAAACAAACTTGATAAAAGTGTTACTACTGATACGTGCTATCTCTGAAAACAAACTTGATAAAAATGTTACTAGAATCTACTGATACGTGTTATCTCTGAAAACAAACTTGATAAATTTGTTACTACTGATACGTGCTTTCTCTAAAAACAAATTTGATAAAAATGTTACTACTGATACAAACAAACGTGATAAAAAGGTTACAACTGATACGTGCTATCTCTGAAAACAAACTTGATAAAAATGTTACTAGAATCTACTGATACGTGCTATCTCTGAAAACAAACTTGATAAATTTGTTACTACTGATACGTGCTATCTCTAAAAACAAACTTGATAAATTTGTTACTACTGATACGTGCTATCTCTAAAAACAAACTTGATAATAAGGTTACTACTGATACAATCAAACGTGATAAAAAGGTTACAACTGATACGTGCTAATTCTGTAAACAAACTTGATAAAAATGTTACTACTGATATGTGCTATCTCTGAAAACATACTTGATCCTTAAATTCGATTCTTAAAGATCATTTAGCACTACATTATTGTCGTGTTTGTGTTATTTTTACTTTTTACTATTAGGCACTTTCTAGTTGGGTGGTTCCAATAGTCTTACTTGAATAATGTTGAATCACCCTTAGGATATGTTGCCTGCTTTTTAACTTTGACGACTTATCTGTGATATGCAGGCTTCATTAACCTCTGATCCCCTTTCAAATTTCCATTCTGTTAAGTTCCACCCATTGTTTTCTCGTTTAGGGCACACGCTTTCTATATATTAGGTACCATACGTCGCTTTTCATGGAATAGCACAAAAGTGTCACGTTGAAGGTTGATAACCGCCTTATGAACACATCTGCGGATGTTGCTAAATTCAAAATTTTACCATTTCATGTTTAAATGTTGAATTCTGCTTAAATCTGTGCTAGTGGGAGTGAACGGTAGTTTGCACTTTACAGCACCATCCATGAACAGGCCCATTCAAACCGAGCCTGTAACATTTTCATTTCTGCCGTGTTGGGCCTTCTTTAGGAATTCTTATTTTCTCTATTTGATAAAAAATTTTCTACTGATACGTACTGTTGGTAGAGCGTCTTGAGAAAGTCTTTGGTGTAATCAGCGACTGAGTTATGCGCCAGACCTCTAGTTTAATTTACGACCATGTTATGAGAAGGGTCTGTAGTTCGATACCCTTCATAAATTGCGTAAGAGACCTTTGGTTTGATTATTGGCCCAGTCATACTATAGCCATATTCACAAGCTCTGGTCTTTCTGTAGGTTGATTATGTCGGATTATGATACTGTACGTTTATTACGTCGTTTCAAAGGTATATTGTGACGTATAAACAATGTTCGACAAACATTTGTTACATTAGTTTTCCTTTGTTACCGTGACGCGCATATAAATCTTAATAATTCTGCAATTTTATAGCGTTGATTTTCATTGGTATATCGTGTGTGTGTGTGTGTGTGTGCGTGCGTGCGTGCGTGCGTGTGTGTTGGGTTTATTTACCCTCGCCATCGGTATAAAACCATATGGGCGAGTATATGCTTCATTTATGATAGGGAAAAAGTGTACTTAATTAAATAACTGCATATGTGGCTAGTGAGTGCCATATTTCCTGTCCCGAATCGGCAAATAATTACCGTAGATGAAGCCGGAAAAAGGTGGGATTATATCCCACACTTAGATTAAAAAACTGTATTTAAAAATTAAACTTAAATTAAAATTGGGGGGGGGGGAAGACGCTTATACGCGTACGCCTTCAATAATGGGACAAAAATCCTAATAACTATGGTTATTGATTGCTTAATTTAATGCTTATCATGGGTATATCGTGAAGCTCATACACGTCTTTATAATGTCATAATTTTATAACGTTGATTTTCATTGGTTTATCTGGACGCTCATAAAATCTTTATAATGCTGCAATTTTATAACGTTGAGTTTCATTGGTTTATCTGGACGCTCATAAAATCTTTATAACGCTGCAATCTTATAACATTGAATTAACTGCAACATATGACATTTAATGCACATGACATGGCAATTATCAATTTTATCTTCAAGTCCAATCTTTTGACTTTTCTTAAAATCTTAGTACATTCTATTTAAGTTCGATTTTCTTGAAATAATTTGCCTAAGCTCAGTCAGCTGGGGTCATGACGCTTTAAAATTTACAACAATTACAACAACGATCAGGAATGATATGTTAACGTATTTTTTATTTTCGTTTCTTATTACCTTTCAGCAATTTTGACTTAAAGGAATGCGAAGATTACGAAAGGTTGGTCAAACGGAAGACATCAGACTGCAGTCGTGGGGAAGAGAACGGTAAAAATCTTACTTGAAGATTCGTTAAACATTTATGTACAACTTTTTTTATCACTCGAATTTTGTTATAATTTATCATTTTGATTAACAGATAATACTCGTTAATGTCCATGAGAATTTTAACTATGCTAACTTTTCTCACATGTATATCCCATTCGTGGTTTATGTTCATGTTTATATACAACACAAAATTTAACGTTTACTGAGTGAATTTCATATACATAAGGTATTAATATTATTATTATTATTATTATTATTATTATTATTATTATTATTATTATTATTATTATGTGCTTAAACATTGAAAGTGCTAACAGAAATAAACGTACACAAAGTGAACGTTACTAAAATTCAACATTTCCCAGAAACTCTTTTTTATATATAATGCTATATTATATATAAAGATAATCTTGAACTTATTTAAACGAATTTAGAGTAGTATTTAATGTTTTACTATCTGATAAATCAAAGAAGGTACGATTATAGGTATACTATTATCATGGAGCTAAATATAAGATGGAGAAGAGACTGTGACATCACACAGTTAAAATCAGTATCGGCGGAATTGTGTTCCCGCAAGTTATCATATGTCGCGAGATTTTGCGAGACTTGTTTATATATCTGTGCTACTATATATTATTATAGGTGTAAATACAACGATGGATGCTAAGTTTTACAGTCAGGATTTAGACAACTATTTCTGGTACTACGAATGTTATGAGTACGACAATGACAACAAATGCACGACGGGATACCTTGATCTTCTCGTTAGCAAAACTAGATACTCTGGTAGGCTCATTTTTTGTAAGAAAAACAATTCTGTCTTGTTTGTTTTGGGGTTTTTTTTTCAACTATATAATTATGTCAGTAATTTTATCTTGGAAAAGTGCATCATATTACTGTTAAAATAGAGAGAAATAAGAATCCCCTAAGAAAGCCCAAGACGGCAAAAATTGAAAATGTTGCAGGCTCGGTTTGATTGAGCCTGTTCATGGGAGGTACTGTCAAGTGCAATACCGTCCACGCCCCCTAGCAAAGCCTTTTTCAAAACAGCGTCACGAGAGCTATTTATAGCGTGTCAGTGTCGTTCGTTTCTAAAAATAGAAGATAGCGTCATAGGGAGCGAGCCGACAAATTAGAGGTATCGAGGGGTTTCCGTTCTATCGACGGTTAAATTTTTTTCCACCTGAATTCTTCTGACCTGACTATTTTAAGAAATGATTGATCTAAATAAAATATATTTAATCTTTGGTAAACTTTAAGGCTGTTTTAACCTTTGTTGAATTTGGAGCAATCGATTCAGATAATATTAAATATGAGATATTGGTATCAATTAGCATACAACAAAATTTGACTTCAATGGCTTTAACGCAATAATCACTCGTTACTTAAAGTTACCTTATAAATTAGGTCCAAGCATAAATAATTTCTCAAAAAAAACTTTATTCATATATAGAACTAAAATCTACATCTAAATATGCAACAGGGATTGAAATGTTGGCAAAAAAATTAAAAGAAAGGATGTGTGACTACAAAGAAAAAAAACATAAACAAATGGATGGTAGAATTTGCATTTTTTAAAAAATACATGTGTTATACTAGCTAGTGAAGGATAAAAGTAGTAAAAAAGATCTGATTCTTATTGGTGACCATGTGGGAACGTAATCCTTAAATAATGATGATTATAATAATGAAAGGAAAAATACATATCTCAAGACTCATATTTTTGTTATACTCCGACTTGAATGATTTTATCCGAGGCAAATACATACATTTCGAACAGATAGCGGATTGTTAAGCGTCGATTGAGTGTTGTTGACTATTTTATTGCGTCGACCGACATATTTGATCGTATAGAAGACTTTAGTGTTGAAGACTTTGATTTATCAGATCATTTTCCGGTTACCTGTGAAATTCTACTTGATACTATAAACGTGAATTCAACGGAATTTCACTCATTTCCGAACCTTTATGAACATCAAACGTATAAATGGAAAGAGTCGCTCAGAGATACATTTATTCAAAAATTCACACCATTATTTGAAACCTTTTATAATGATATTATTCAAGAGGAAAATATCTACAACACATGTACAACTTTTATAGACCTATTTAAAATCGCCGGTAAAAACATGCTTTTAAAAGTATATAAAGGTAAAAACAGAAGTCCGGAGGCAAATCATGAACAACCGCGTTGGTGGGACTCGGAATGTGCAAAGATGAAACAACTGAAATATAGCAGTTTGCGTAAATTTAGACGAACACAACATAAATCAGACTTTGATGAATATTTGATAAATAAGCGAACTTTTAAAAATATGTGTAAAATTAAGCGCCAAATCTATGAAAATAAGATGCGCGATGAACTTATCAACAACCGAAATGATGCAAGTTTTTTCTGGAGTTGTATTAAAACTGTTACGGGAAATGTAAAACGAAAAGAACACATCCCGATCGATGGAAACACATGGGTTTCCTACTTAAGCGAGCTATTTTCTGAAAACAATCAAGTTTTAAATAATCAAGATATATTCAACAGTCTTTATGATAGAATAGATGACACAGATCTTGATTGTGACGTCACAGACGACGAAATCATGATAAGTGTTAATTCCTTGAAAAATAATTGCGCAACAGGAGTGGATGGAATATGCATAGAAATGTTCAAAAGTACTATATATTTAACAATACCATACTTGAATAAATTATTCAACAATATACTACATACGGGACATTTCCCACCTACCTGGGCAGAAAGCATTGTTACCCCAGTACACAAGAAAGGAAATAAATCCGATCCGAATAATTACAGGGCAATTTCTGTAGGAAATAGCTTGAGTAAAATTTTTATGAAAATCCTCGCAAATCGTTTGACCAAGTGGGCAGAATTGAATAACATTATAGATGAATGCCAAGCTGGTTTTAGGAGTAATTATTCCACTATTGATAACATTTTTAATCTTCAATCTATAGTACAAAAATATATTAGTAAATCAAGAGGACGATTATATGTGTTTTACGTTGACTTTCTTAAGGCCTTTGACAATTGTGTTCATTTCAAAATATGGGAAAGCTTAGAACGGAAGGGAATATCCCCTGAAGGCAGATTTCTAACGTTATTCCGGAATATTTATTCTCAACTTCGGTCATGTGTAAAAGTATCAGGACCTACGATGAACGGGCTGACTGATTTCTTTGAGTGCGCCAAAGGAACAAAACAAGGATGTGTGACGTCATCAATCATTTTTAACCTATACATAAATGACCTTGTGAAATACTTAAATAATAAATGTCAAAATGGAATCACTATCTCACAACATACAGGAGAGCTGTATTGTTTATTATTTGCTGATGATGTCTCCAGTTTTGCCGACACGGCTATAAATCTCCAAAGACAAATAAATGAAATAAGTAATTATTGTGCTGAAACTGGGATGTGTATAAACCTTGATAAATCTAAGATAATTGTTTTCAGAAATGGCGGCCCACTGAGACAATATGAGCATTGGATGTATAATGAAAATGAAATAGAAGTTGTCAATTGTTACAAATACCTAGGAGCATACTTTACCCCGAAACTCTCATGGACTAAAACGAAAGATGTACTAGCCATACAGGCGACCAAGGCTGTTAATGTTATTTATGCTTATCAGAAACATTTTGGTTATTTTAGTGTTAATGATGCTTTCAAACTATTCGATGCTATGGTAAAACCCATTTTGACTTACTCATCAGAGATTTGGGGATATAACACATGTCGACAGATCGAAAAGGTGCATATATCATTTTGCAAAAGGATAGCATGTTTAAATCAAAACGTTGCAAGTTTCTTCGCCCTTAGTGAATGTGGACGCCTTCCAATTAGTGTAACATATATGTCTAAATGTGTTAAGTACTGGCTGAAATTAACGGAAATGCCACAATATCGGTTACCAAGACAATGCTATATTATGCTTAGAAACTTAGATGAACAAGGACGAATCACATGGGCAACTCATGTTAAACGCATGTTATTTCAATTAGGCCTTGGTTACGCATGGACAGCGAACGGAGTCGGAAATGTTGATACATTCATGCAAGTATTTAGGACACGAGTCTCAGACTGCTGTAGACAAGAGATAATGTCGGACATTAATTCATCGCCTAAAGCAATTAGTTACAGAATTTATAAAACATCTATTTCTGACGAATGTTATTTGTCACTGAGTATGCCTTATAAATATAAACGCGCATTAGCAAATTTTAGATGCAGTGGCCATGACTTGAAAATTGAAACAGGAAGGCACTTAAATATTGACAGAGAATTTAGATTTTGTTCATTTTGTCTTAAACGTAATGCGTATGTTGTGGAAAATGAAGTGCATTTTTTGATTGACTGTCAGCTGTACAACGACCTTAGACACAAACACTTAAACTTTTGTAATTGGAATGTGATTCTAAACAGTAATGAACGCTTTAATACTATAATGTCAGAAACAGCGAAAGACAATATTAGAAAACTGGCAAAATTTATCTATGAAGCAAATAGTTTAAGAAAACTTCAAATAACTGAACACATTTAAACATATATATTGTAATGTTTTTAATTTATTTATGTGCCATGAATTTGTTGAAACGACCGTTTCTCTATGTAACCAATTACCTTTATGTTTAAATATTATATATAAATTAATAGTTACCTCTTCAACACTGATATTAATCATATTGGCATTTGTACATTATATGTTTAATTAATATTACCTTTATTTCAACTTAAATATTCAATTACCATTAAACTAATTACTTGTAAATATACTCATAACTATGTCTATTATATATATTTATATCTCACTCTTTGTTAAATTAAAATTCTGAATGTATTTTGGGCTGAAGGCCTTATATTACTAATAAACTCATTGTCATTGTCATTGTCATTGTCATTGATCTTTTTGCAGCACTTTTTGCAATGACGAAAATAATGTCCCGTCAATTTTTCGCTTTTTCCGTGGCCCTCTTCTAGCTGTGATCTCGTATTCGCCGCCTTGTAATGCTTTGCCAAGAGGAAAACGTGTGCTCTGCTTATAGATTCTTTGCCCTTTTGTTAATTACATATAAAAGAACATCGTCTAAGTTAGGCAAAAAGTGACGATCGCGCGAGGTTTTAGTTTTCAATGGACGTCATACGTGTATTTCTACACGAAACGATAAGGAAAATGCTGCTCATAACTTGTTTGTTTAATGTCTGGATAAAATAGAGAGAAATAAAGAAACACTAAAGAAAGCCCAACAAGACAAAATTGAAAATGTTGCATGCTCGGTTTGATTGAGCCTGTTCATGAACGGTACTGGAAAGTGCATGTTACCGTCTACGCCCGCTAGCACCGACTTTAGCAAAAAAACATTTAATCATGGTAATGGTGAAATTTTGAATTTAGAAACATCTGCAGATATGTTCATACGGCGGTTATCATGGAACCTTCAACTTTCGTGCCATTCCATGAAAAGTGGCGTATGGTAAGAGAAAAGCGGCGTATGGTCCCCAAGTAAGTTTAGGGCTAAACGAGAAAACAATGGGCGGAACTATATAAAATCGAATTTTGAAAGGGGATCAGAGGTTATGAAGACAAGTCAAACGCGTTCGTAAAATATTTAGAAATCAGACATCAAATTATGAAATAACAAGAAGTACAATTAAGCTTCAAAAACGTACCGAATGCGCGGTACGTTTAGCAATATATAAGATTACGTTCAAATCGTATACGTCATTTAACCTGACGCACCGAAAATAATTATTTCAGATTAAAAAAGGGTTGAGGTGTTTGGTCTGGTGCACAACTGCAAAGGCTCCTGTGTTGACCCTCGGCATGTTTTCATTATTAAATTAGTATTTTGTGTTATACACAGATTCTGATGATAGTGAACTTGACCTACAAGGACTTCCCTGGCATCTTATTGCTTCCGACCTGAAATACCATTTCAACATGGATATGTCGGATGATAAAGTGAAGTTTTCCTGGAAAGGTCCAGGTAATGTATCTTTACGTTAAATTATCAATTTAGAATAAATAACGCTTTTGACAAAAATAGCAATAAAAATGTTGTTTTTATGCTGAAAATATATTTTATAAAAAAGATAATTCGTAGACGTATTTTAACAAAGATTTGTGTGACCCAGTGGCGTACCTACCGATACGCCAAATACGCACGGGCGTATGAAAAGAAAAAAAATGAAAATTTCAAATCGGGCATATAGTGCTGCAAATTTGTTAAGCTTAGGAACACCTAACTGGTCCCCGATCATAAACAGAGGGTTTCATATACCAAAATGTTCGGTTGAGTCCCTAGATTACGAAATTGAATTTCATTTTCCCCGAAAGTGCTGGCGGACTAAGAAATTCAAGATGGCGTCCAAGATGGCCGCCACAAATATGAAAATTATAATTTACTTTATATTACTTGAATTTTGGCAGTTAAAACTTAGCAATAAGTTCTTTCTTTTCATTCTTGTATTAATTGTGTTCCTTAAATGCAGTTTTAATATGTGTTTTAAGGTAATTATATTTTTTGATGATAAAAACAAAAAATAATTACGAAAAATATACGGAAAAAAATGTGATTTTAAAAATACTTGATACAATTTCTTTTTTTTTTCATCTTTTTAATAAAAAATTAATTATAATGCCTGATTTTAAAGAAAACAACATGTTAAGCTCGACTTTTAAAAACGATATAATAAAAAATAGATAAAATAAAAAAAAAATAATTAAAAGAATAGAGGTATTGTTACAGTCATGTCGGTGTTGACGCTTCCGTCAGCAAACTTTAACTGTGATCATTACTTTTAATCTTCTTTATGCTTTGTCTTCATACTTGGCCACAACAACCTTGGGGCAAGTTCTTTAAGTAGACAAGACTAAATTTGACCTTCATTCATAAATGACCTTGACCTCCAAGGTCAAATGTCTAAATTTTGCTTATTTTTTTTCTGATTTTTGCTATTAGATAACTTTGTTATTTTCTAATGGATTGTCTTCAAACTTGAACATAATAATATTTTTAGGATAGACCTTCGAGTTAACCAGACAGACATTGATCTTCACTCATAAATAACATTGACCTTGAAGGTCAAATTATAGAAAATTTATTTTTATTTATTTATTTTGTGTGTGTGTGTGTGGTGGGGGGGGCTGTAACTGGCTATAACTTTGTTAATGATAAATGAATTCACTTCATATTATAACACAATATTCTTTAGGATATGACTTTCATGTATAAATTTAAATTGACCTTGGCTTTTTATGACATTGACCTTGAAGGTAAAATAATTGAATTTCGACTGATATTTGCTACAATTGGCTGTATCATGGTAATTAATTTATGGATTATCTTCATATATTGACAAAACAACACTTTGGACAAAACACACTATCCAAAAAACTGTAATTAAATGAAATAAAAGGTGGAACTGACTTTGAACTTGAACTTTAAATAATCTTGACTGTGAAAGTAAAATTTTTTAATTGTCATAATTTTGTTATTTATGTACGGATTCATTTATACACAACTTGTTACCAATATATATATTTAATAATTAAGATTTGGCCTTGACCTTAAGTTGAACATGACTGTTAATGTCAAATAAATGAAATTCTCTTGTTTCATTTTTGGTTTTGTAACTGGCTATCACTTTGTTATTTATAAATTGATAACCTTTATTTCCAGACATTTTAGGTCAGGACCTTTATGTATATTAAATTAAAATTTACTTTAACTCATGAATGACTTTGACCTTGAAGAAAATTTATTGAATATTAACAGATTATCAAATAATTGGCTGTAACTTGGTAATTAACCAATGGATTATTTCATACTTGGACAAAACAACCTTTTGGACAAGACCTTCTAAAAGGTTGAACTTACTTTAACCTTTAAATGACCTTGACCATCATGGTCAAAGTATTAAATTTTGGCGGTGGCTCTTGTTAAATTCAAAATCTAACATTAAAAATTGTGATTTAATTAAATTTTTGGGATAGTGTGTATTTTTAAGTGGGGTATGGGGAATGATTAATTTATTTAAATTTCAAAATACTGCAAGTATCCTAATATAACCTTTTTTTGACAACTGAAAAGACTTACATCTATTTATCTTAAATTTCAGAGTCATTGCTGTATAGACAATGCACTAATTGTGAAATATGACAATATAAGTATAATTTCAATTTTAAAATGCTTAAAATTTAAACAGCAAATATGTTTACACGTTCCTTATTTCTTTTCCCTTCTTCATGAACTTTTACACATATCTTTCTAACATTGGAAAATTTTGACCTTTTCTGGCAGAATATATCAGGTGAGGGAGCCAGGACCATCAGGCCCTCTTGTTTTCCTATTTTTACATGGAAAATACTGATTTCATACAAGTGACAATATAACTGCATTTTGAAACATATTTGATAAAATGATGCAATGAAATTTCAAACATTAATTTCTTTAAATTTTGTTTATCTTTAAATATTGCAAATTCCCAACAGTATTAAATACATTTGCTATGTACCCCCATCCACTCAGTTACATACTTAAATGACAATTAAAGTAGAACACGTTTTGGAAAGAAAAACAAATTCTCAATGTTTAATATTTACTGATAAAATATGCCAGAAAGAATTTATATGTATAAAATATTTTGAGGGAAAAGAAAGAAAGTGCAAAAATTGGCTGTTAAAACATTAAGTCACAGGTTTTTTTTAATTGAAAAAAAACATGTATTTCCTCATATTTCTCAACTAGGGCATTGTCTATTGAGCAATGACTCTGAAATATGTAATAAGGAGTAGATTCAAGTCTTTTAGACAGTAAATATAAAGTAATCTGAAGAATTTTTAAATTTTAATAAAATTACCATTTTACCCCACCCACTTAAAAACACATTATTTTAAAAATTATACTAAAATGATAACTTTTATTGGCACATTTTGTTTGTAAAAAAGTTGTTTCCTGTAAATCAGTCATAAGGAAACAAATCATTATTGAATTGCAAGAAAAAAATAGAAAATGTAAAGCACATATTTAAAAAAACAGCAATTTTTAGAAATATTTAGCCTTAATTATCGGTTTTTATCATAAAAATTCTACTAACATTATTAATAGATGCTAAAACTAAATTTAATAAATATATTCAATACCAAAATGTTTAAAAAAAACACTTTTTTTAAAAGTTAATGCTTGCAAATTTAAGTAATAAATAATAAATGATTATTTTCATATTTTGGCGGCCATCTTGGACGCCATCTTGGATTTCTTAGTCCGCTAGCACTTATAGCAAAAATGAAATCCTATTTCGTAATATAGGGACCCAACCGAACATTTTGGTATATGAAACCCCCTGTTTATGATCGGGGACCAGTTACTCCCCTAAATAAGCGAGTTATTTGAGTCTATTTGCAGCACTAATAGATCAATAAACATATTTGTAGCTCCTAATTGATTTTTTATGTATGCTGAGGATGTTTCCTAATTCAAATATGTGTTACCTATTTTGATAATGTGTATACACAATTTTAGTGAGAATTGATCTACCGTTGTTTCAGTCTGGAATCCCTGTAACAAAAGTTTTTATGGAGGTATCGTTTAAATTATCTTAAGATTTTAATTTATACCATCATACTGTATGCGGAATCTATTAAGGACTCCGAAAACAAAAGTGTTCGGCCTTTCTTCAAAACCACGAAATGACGTACACAATGTAAAAAAATATTATATGAATAATTTCTTTGGAAATTTCTCTCTCTGCAGATTGAGTTTTTAAAATAATCAATGTTATAATGCAAATGCACCCAAATAATGATAATAAAAAGTCAAATTAATTTACAATCATCTTTCCAGCAGAATCAAAATCAATGAAAACTGAACATTTATTTAAGAAATAATATATCCCAAACTGTGATTTTATTGCTCAATAACATCACTGTATGGAGTTTGGATGCGGGGAATTATATCACGAGGGCGTAGCCCGAGTGATATAATGATGCGCATCCGAACAACAAACAGTGATGTTATCAAGCAATAAAATCACCGATTTGGATATATTATGTCGATTCTAACACGACATCAACAAATAAATGCTGCCCGTACATGATAATTAGCTAAATTGCGCCTGATTTTTGTCCGTACTTATTGTCACCGCGTCACATTTTTAGTGGTTACGTCACGTGTATAATGATTACGTCACATGTCTAAATATAGAACGTCAAACAGTGATTTTATAGCATAATAACACACACTTTCGGTTCTTCTATGTCCAATAGGGAAAAATGCGGGTCGTGTTAGAATTCATTATTTTACATTTATATGCAAAAGTAAGTCCTGTCTGCCACTTGACATCTGTAGCACAATGGAAATAAGTTGACCATATGTAATTCTTTTTTTATATTTTACCTTATAGTTATAAGTTATTATATATTTCTAAGTTAGTAACATTCTTTCATCTTATATCAATTTTATTCAAAACCATTGCCAACATCTATCGTCCCAAACCATAGTCAACTTATATTTACAAAAAAGTATTTGACCTACAAAAATATCAATATATAAAGTTGTTTGTCCGTCTTATTTTTATTGACTATAGAAATAAATTGCAACCTTCTGTAAACAATGATATATATAGTCTCATCTATACATATATAAAACATAGATAAATATACTATACCTATATAAGAGATAATAAGACACGTCAAGTCCAGATTCTTTTATTTTCACCTACTTCTGATTATATACCAACATGCTTTTATGTGCGTTAGTCATTTAACAATGTACTGAACTAATTTAAACATTTCGGATGAAAATTGAAACAAAAATAGTTGAGAAAACACTGTTAAAGATAAAAATTATTTTCTTTAACATTGACATAATGCGCATTTGGAAATACAATGTACTTTTAAAGGACTTAAATGATCACGCGATACTACAATTTAGCTGTGAACACGATACTTTATTGTTACACTAAAACATTTAAGCTATTGTGCTTGTATTATCGTTATACAGATCATTTTAAATAATATTTTCCTTGATTATATCTCATGTTTCGGTATGGTGAAACATAAGAAAAATAACAAGGAAAAAACTTCTTATACCCATCTTTATAACAATAGAGACACCTGGCTATGTTTAGTTTTTTCTGATACACGGTCGTAAATAACTTTTTTATGAATCATTTAAGCCAGTGTATAAGCTAGACTGTGCAATTTCTCTTACATTCAATACATGTACTTGATGTCACTTTCCTAACTATAGATAAAGACAATTTTTAAGTAGTACAATCCCTGGTAATAGCAAAGAGCTATCTTTGATATAAGTCTCGACCAAAGACCTGAACTCGGCGTATACTTAAAATAACCAAGGTACGCCCCAGTAAAGCATATTTTCCTTGTTTATATCTCACGTTAAGTTATAGTGAAACAAAAGAAAATAACAAAGAAAAAACTAAACTTGTTACAAAAGGAAATAAAACCCATCTTTTTTACAAGAGAGACACCTGGCTATGTTTTGTTTTTCTAAAAGCAAATATTTTTTTGAACTATTTAAAACAGTGTACACGTTACACTTCGAGTTATTTCTATTACATTCAATTTATGTACATTTGTACTATTTTCATAACTATAGATAAAGACAATAGTAGCACAATTAGCTAAAATATCCCCTAAATCCTTAGTTATAGCACAAAGCTATATTTGATATATAAGTCTCTGGCGATCCTTCGGCCAAAAACCGGCACTCGGCGTACACTCATAATAAGCAGAGGTACGCCCCTGGTGTCTGAGGCCGAGTGGTTAAAGCCGGTGACTTTAAAGCACTCACACAGTGGCTTCGAGCACATTCTTTCAATTGAGAAATCTATCTAGCTTACCTACAAAAAGTCAATAGTTCTACGTATGTGCCCGTTCGATCGTTCCTGAAATAATGCATGAAAGGGCACTTGAGGTCGTCTCCACCAGTAAATAAGAAAATTACCTTAAGATTGTTGGTACGACGTTAAACACGACCAACCAACCAACCAATAGGCCATTTTTTATTATTTTTTTTTATTTTTGTTTAGTTACCTTTTATTTTCTTGGTTACTTTCAGAATGTGGATTTGATGGCAAATTGATCGAAACCAGCGGTACAGGATCGGACAGGCAGAACATCTTAGCTTTGTTAATTGCCTTCTCCTTATACTCGCTGTTATTTTAGAATAATTATATTAAAGATCCTGTAATTCATTTTTATGTTTTTATATCATAAATATAATGCTCAAATGAAGATTTATTAATGTTGTAAGTTCCAAAACGCATAATTTGTAAAAATATTAGCGAATTGACGTTTCATATTAATAAAGAAAGTCTAAGTCAAATTCTTAGATAAGAAATGAATGCATATTTTAAATGATTACATGTTATGTGTTAAAAAATATCTGCAGTACATATTTAGCAAATTCTTCGATGTTTGATAATAGTTTTAGAAGCATAATTATATACATATATAAAATTTCACTTGAGTGTTGAAACAACCTTAAATACAACATACAGGATCTTTAAAGTATATTACTTACAAAATAAAGAAAATAGAAAGTACTATAAAAAGGGTAGTATAAAGCCTTGTCTTATAATATCTTATAAAATATTGCATTTTTAATATCTATATCATTTGTATATACACATAAATATTGTATGTAAACAGAATACAATTTCACGGAACAAAACATTAAAATGTTATTTGAAGGATTTTGAAACGATTAAATTGATTTGTCATTCACTAAAAAAGTACATAAGCATATTGTTTTTATAATGGTATTTTGGATTTTTTAATTCAAAAACTAACATTGCACACTTTAGACGACAAATGTGTATAGCTTTAAATACTGTAAAAAAAACTGCAACCTTCAAACGTCCCTGTCGACTGTTACATAATGTGTTTTATTATTGTGCTGACCTCTACAATAGCTTTCAAAGCCACATCTTCTGCTCTGTCTGTAGCATTGTATGCAATGAAATTTAAGTTTGAATGAACTTTTTCAGTGTATATGCACTTATGATGGCTAGATTATAAAAATCGCCTGAATTGTGCAGATTCCATATCTCACATTTGTATCCTGAATACATTATCTGCTTTTACTACATTTATGTCTTACTACATTTATGTCTCGTATTCTCATACTTACATTCCTGCGCGTTTGTAACACCAATTGCCATTGGGCAGTCGGGACGGTCGAAACATATTAAGACAGCTGAAATGTTTTAATAATAATAAAAAAGAGTAAACATCACAAAAATCGTCTCACATAGTACAGTAAAGACTGTCTTAGCGACCCCCTGTATATAGCGACGTTCTGTCTTTAGTGACCATAGTTAGGTGCGCCGAACAGTATTTACTATATAAATGGTCTGTATGTAGCGACTCCCTGTCTAGTCCGTACAACGACCATGATTTAGTCACCCGTTACGGTATTTGAGCCGTGAACAGCGACTTTTGCAAGGGGAGCAAGACTTGAACTAGGTGACGACTTTGGCGAAGAAGTCGCCATTGGATCAGCGACTTTGCTTCAAAGAGATTTTGAAGCACGATTTTTATAATTTTCCGTCATACTTATTTACGCCGCTAGGTCTGTTAATGATTTGTTAACCTCTCAATTACAACCAATTACCGTTAATCCGCTAGTTAAGAACGCGTGTTCAACATCAACAAAATTCTATACACGCCACAAGGCAAGAGTTCACTTTGTTTATCTTTCTCATTACGTATTCATGCGATTAACGAATCAGAACGCGCGTTGTATCTACGGCAGTTTGCATTGACCAATCGGCGACACGCTAATACACTGTGGCTGTTTGTTGACAATTACATAAAATGGCGACAGATTCAATCAATTTTCGCCGATAAAATGATTAAAGACACCTGCATATACATAATTGCTGCGGTGTTTTTGCGAGTAAAGATAAACAATGCCAAACGTCTTAAAGGTGTGGTTATGTGGTTATGTTTGAAACCTCGATTGTTAATTTTTTTCGGAGCACTTATCTGTGTTTTATTAATACATTGAACTCCGTTAAGTAAACAGGTTGATTATACAAAATTTAATGTCTCTACAGTAACATCTCATATGTAAAAGTGAAATTAAACATTTTTTTACAAACAGACTTATCAATATAAATTACATTTTAATCAATATGTGACTTTTAAATACAAATGTTATGGTGTAGTTTATAATCTTAATCAATTATACATGCAATTTTAATACTCTCTTGTTTTTTATAAATGATTTTTGATATGTTTAATATCAATAAAAATATAATTAAACCCTTAGTATGGTACTATCCTGCTTTTCAACAAAATATTGATATGATATGTTCATATATCCGAATTATGTAGAGACTGTCCACAGTGACTCCCTGTCTATAATGACCTTTTTTCTTTCTCCCATCGAAGGTCACTGTAAACAGTCTTTACTGTACATATTAAGTTAAAATTTAGCGAATTACTGATTCAAAATTAATAAGCCACTTTTTGGCGTATGATATCCTTTAAGTACATGACTGGTGACATGTCCGGAATTCACACTGTCATTGTCTGGAAGGGCGAATGGATCCTCATCAAAGCATATAATACACACACAATAATAAATCTTATACCATTTTATTGTAGTCAAAGGAAGAAATTATGGGTTATAAATTCGTTGAAAAGTAGAAAGGATATATGGCTATGTATAAACGAATGTTAACTATGCAAACTTACAGTAATTGTTGGTTATACTGGCCCATATAACCTGTTTAATAACACTTAATAATATCGAGTTATATGGCCGGTTATTTGAACCAATATAAACGGTTAGAAATAAAAATGTAAGATTGTATTACCTGACTCGATAGACAATTCAAAAATAATATACTCGCTACGCTTGTTCAATGAAATTCGGCGTTACAAACAAGTTGTATTATAACTAATCACATATCTCACATTAAAATAATAAAAAATGATGTATCTTATAATGTTTTGTTGTTTTGTTTTTTGTTGTTGTTGTTGTTTTCATAATGACAATTTCCGTGGGACTTGAGGCGCAATAACCCTGCTTTGTCACATACAATATCTCGTTGAGACGAAATAAATATCAAGCTAGGTACACTTTTTCGTAAAGAAAGACGACATAACAAATCCTGCTTAGTACACGTAGACCGCACGCCGGTTATAATCGTGTTTTGAGTCAAAACAAGAAATATTTTTTAAAAAAGATACTCTGCCGAAGTAAAACTGGTTAATATGTTATTTTTAAGTTTTCTATACAAAAACTTCCACTTTCATCCCCACCCAATTGAAATTACTCTAAATAAGAAATATGTACTGAAGTATCAAAGATCTATTAAAGACATATGCCTCAGAAACAAGTATTTTTTTCCTGATTTAGGAAGGTTAGTCATGAGCTTTATAACGCTCAAACACGGACTTCGGAGCACATCATGTGTCCATCACTTGAGGAAAGTAAATATTGGTGTTGTTTCAAAAGTAACTAATTGTAAACAATATACTATATTAAGCCTATACATGTACCAGGTATTTCCAACTATCTATTTTCATAACCTGAACCCTCTAAACACTATACGCTACTCGGAGTAAAGGAACTCCGCTGAGGTAAAAAAGCCTAAAAACATAAAATTTCTAAAAAAAGATAAGCTGGGGTGCTCAAAATAGAAAGATATGCAAAAGATAGGTAAGAAATATAATCAGAAATAAATTAGAAATCGTATTTGTTTTGCTATTCTTATTGTTATATGAGTAAAAAGGGCTACACCTACATCATTAATCAATCATTAATGTCGGAAATTATTTCAAGCCCCGTCTTGTCAAGACACCTCAGTGTAGTCCCTTTAACGTTCATGTGCCCACTTTTATTATTCAGTACTCCCATAAAATGCAAAATGTAATAATAATGATGACTATTTCTATAGAATAGTCTCTGTTATTTGGGGAACAACTTATACCCTGCCCTGGTTATGACGTAGGTACTGTATCTACGTCATATCCTTTTAACGCTGGCGTCGAATGTTGTAACAATGGAAGAAATGAATTGTTGAAAAAAAAATGAAAAAAAAATCGCTGATCAAAACAGCAATCGATATTAGTATCTTCTAGATATGAATCGATAAGACGTCAGAGATTTTCTGTGTGCCCTATAAGCAGCAATTTTGTTGATATTTTCCACGATTGAAGCGGATTTGTTCTTGATGTCTTTGGTGGGAACATGGAACACTGAATCAAGCTGGATATTATATGGACAAAGAAGTTTTCTTAGTCAATTCAGATTTAGATCTTCAAAAGATTGTTGTCGAGAACAGTTTAATTATAAATTAGAGATCTATTTATATGCATTGTTATGTGAAATGAACATTAGGTTGTACTTTGTCTAGCTTTATGCTGACTGCTGCCGTAAATTGACAATTTTATTATGACGATCCATGGATCTACTCTCACCCACGGCTAGTCATTTAGCTATGTCTGTATATCGCTATCATGTTAAGTCATTCGCGGTGTATTAGTAACGATAATCTAGCTAGGTCAGTAGGTGCACTTTGCTATTTTCAATGGCGTTAAGAATGGTGGAAGCAAGAAATGTTTGTTAACTTGTGCTAAAATGTGTCTATTAGTCTAACAGGTTCATAATAAATCAGTTATTATTAACCAGTTTTAAAATATATTTTATTTGCTTTTAAATCTTCAAAATAGATCTATAATTTTCTTTTTGCTGGACGAGATTGGAAGAATGTGATTAAAGACAATACACTATTGGACTGTATGTGAAATGTGGAAATATATGCGATGGTGATCAGCAGCGTCTTGTGATGACTCCTGACATTTGATGAATTGTTGTATGAGATAAATTGGTGACTGATGTTAGTAGAGCTAGTAGTTTAGCTTTACGGTATTAGGTGAGGTATTTCCTGTTTAAATGTTTATTTTATACATTATTTTACAATGTGGAACCTAGGTTTAGATCTACATAATGAACAAATTAATTATTCAGTTATATTTCAGTATTTGTTATCATAGATGTGGATACATTGCCTTATTTTTTTTTTCATTTTTTTATTTTTCAAAAACATATAAACACAATCATTACATAGAAACTCCACACAGAAAAAAGTAAAAACAAAACTTTCAAAAAATTCAGAAAGAAAAAGAATAAATCTACTTAAAAAACTATCATTCTTACAATAAACAAAAAAACAC